GGGCGCAGGGCCACCCATCACTCTGCAGCCCAGGGAGATGGCAGGTGGGCGACAAGGTACCTCTGAGGGATTCTCTAAAAGGTTGCCCTTTGTCAAGGACTACGGGCCTAGCTGTTGACTGCCCATCAGGATTTGCTCTCAGTTAGGACTTTTCATGTTCAGACCGCCCTGTGTGACCCTGGTCTTTGAGTGGCCCCCTTTTTGGCCACTATGCATCCACGCACACACACACATATGCATGCACACAGAATATGTAACTTATATAAATGGGACAGAATATGTAACTTAGATAATGTAGCTTATATAAATGGGACTTATATAAATGCTTCTTGAGATATTGATTTCAAGCTGTTTTTTTTTTTTTTTTAAGAAAGAAGACTGCCTTGGCCAGGTGGTTTGGGTGGCTGAGCCCCGTCCCATGCACCAAAAGGTTGTGGGTTCAGTCCCGGTCAGGGCACATACCTGGGTTGTGGGGTCAGCTCAAGGTGCATGCAGGAGGCAACCAATCTGTGTGTCTCTCTCACATCGATGTTCCTTTCTCTCTCTCTGAAAAAAATCAATAAATATATCCTCAGGTGAGGAAGGAAGGCAGGAAGGCAGGAAGGTAGGCAGTTTCAAAGAGAAACTTTGACCCTTCCCCCTTATCCTGCCCAAGAGATTTATTTAGAAAAAAGACCCCAAAATTTTTGGGGGCTTTAAGAGAGGAGCCTTAGCTTAATCCCCTTAACAATCGTTGCTGTAAAATTAGTCAGGAAGACTCCAAGCCCCTTAAATAACCCCGGTGTCCCACAGTGTTGGGGTCGCCCAGCAAGACTGTCCCTGATAAGAGTGTTCTGCTCTTCCTCAGCTACCTGCGAATTGCCCACTCCCACCTCTGAAACGCGGTGCCCAGTCTCCTGCTCGCTTTCTCCTTTGTCTATAATGCCTTATGTACCCAATGGTGTCTCACTGTCTTTGGGTTGTTTATGCTTATGAGAATTCCTATGCACATGCATTAAAATGTTATTTGCTCCTGTTAATCTGTCCCTGAAATGTATTATTAGCCCAGCTAGAGGAACTGAGAAGGTAGGAGGAAAACCATTAAATTGTTTAGCCCCCAGCAGAATTAAAATATTGTACGTGCTGTGGTTAACCTCAGTTGTTTTTAGTGTTTGTTTTTTCATTGTTCAACACACACACACCAGAGTCCCATTTCACCCCAGGAGGAATAGGCGCTTCAGCACAAGCAGAACAAGACACCAGGCTGAGTTCAGAGGTCACCAGGATGGAAAGCCCCAGTACTTAGCAAAACTGGCCTGGTCACAGTGGCCTCTCCTCTCCGTGCATATCGCTGGTCATGCGGTTTAGATCTGCTGACCTTTCATATCTCTGGTCACCGTTAGGATATCCCCCTGACCTTTCCTCCTTAGCGTGTTGCTAGTCATGTGGTGTAGACCCCCATAGAGGGGGAATGAACAAGGAAGCCGGAGAGTAGCCCTCAAGCATTAACCCTCCAGGACAACGAGGCTCTGACCCGCATCAAATACAAACAGGCCTCAGCTGTGTTTCAGCTGCAGGCGCAGAAAAGCAGCAACATCAGACAAGCAGGGTCCACTCTACTGACTGATGACCCTCTCCCCTGGCACCGACCAATCTGTAGAGACCACAAGGACACACGTTGCGAGCTGATGCATGTTCTTCTGAGACCTCCAGATAAATGCCCTCAAGACACCCTGACCCATGTAGCCGAGTTGGTTGGGCTTCGTCCGTTGAAACAAAAGGTCACTGGTTCCATTCCCTGCCAGGGCTGGGTTGTGGGCCAGGTCTCTGGTCGAGACTTGTGCAAGAGGCAACCATCAATGTTTCTCTCCCTCTCTCTCTCCCTCCCCTCTCTCTAAAAATAAATACACCTTTTAAAAAAGCCCTCGAGACTGAGGATCCAGCGGCTCTCTCTCTCTCTCTCAAGCCCGCATGCCTGCTTGAATCTTCCTGTTGAGTCTACTTTGCTTTCTTCTTTCCAAGCTTCAAGGGCACTTCCTCCGCCTGCAAAACTTGTCTGCCTGGCTGGCCCACTGTTCCTACCTCTCTAACTTTCTAAATAAGCTTTGTCTTATCATTTGAGTCTTGGCTCTGAATTCTTCTCGTAGGCAGAACTCAAGTACAGAGGTTGCTGAACTGAGGTCCAATCGCCAGTAACAACTGGAGTCATTTTTACCCCCCACACCAGTAAGCAAAGTTACTTAACAGCCTGAGATGTGCCCTTCCACCCTTTTCTTTGTGTTCGTATAATTCTATACAGACACGCACACTCTTCTGTGGAAGTTTGGTCACTCTTTTGAGTGACCAAAAACTTGTGCTCACTTTCCTGCATTTTGCTTTCCTCACTTAAATAAAAAATCTTGACACTCCCCCGGGTCTTCCAAACGCAGGTCTAAAAAATATTAATACTTTTCCTCCCACCTTCTATGTTCTTCTGGTTGGACTAATAACCAAACTATAACAGAACTGGGTTAACAGGAGAAAAATCAACATTTGATACACGTGCATGGGGACAATTCACCTAAACATGCTAAATCCACAAAAATTACCAAGACAGGGAAGCAGCATTGGTGATATAGACATTTTGGAAAAAGGAGGAAAAGGGGGGGGTGTGGGGTATTAGATTTCAGAAGTGAGAACAGGCGGTTTACAGGTGGTTTAGGACAAGCTGGACCCACCGGGGAGATTCTGAAACAGTGGGGAGATCAGGCCAGCAGGCGCTGCCCGAAGCCCCCTTGTGGCCGTGCTGAGTTCAAGGTTGGCTGAGGAGAACACCAAAGAGCTTTTTCACGAAGCAGGTTTCTCTTGAGCACGAAAGGGAGGAGGGTCAAAGGTTCTTTCTGAGGCTTTTGCTTCCAAATAAACAGTCTGCAATCAGTATCCCCCAAAAGCATCTTCGGGGGGTGCAGAATTTCGGTCCCTTCACAATATAAATCTCACACTTTTTTTTGTTAATGACTGACAAAAAGGGAATTGTTCAAAATGTAAATGGGAGCACAGTTTCTCTGGGCAAAAATCAATGGACTTCTGGCAGTATCCAGTGGAGCAGATAGAAAGGGACTCTGAGGACCTCTGCCAAGGAAGGACTTGCGTGGGCAGCAGGGAGCAGGCACGTGGGTGTTATACTAGAGAACAAACTCGACTTGGCCGTGCGAGATTACTTTCTATTTGGGAATCCGGGGTCCAGTAGACAGGTGACAGAGCCAGGACTGATGACGTGACTCCTGACTGACTGGTTTAAGACTCCAGTTCTGGGGCAGCAGAAATTCATCATGTCTCAGCTTGGTGACATGGGGCTGAGTACCCGTGATGCCATTTTGGGCCTGTCATCTTGCTTTTAACAGGATAAAGCACTTTTTATTACCCAAAATGATAAGCAGTTACTCTGTTTCCAGATCTTACTTCCAGAAAGAGCAATCACACGACACGGGAAATGTGCTTTTCTATTCTGAATGTCCCTGCAGGTGACCTTGCCCCAATAAGGGGACGTCGTGCTCAGGTTGTCAAATATGACAGCCCAAGAGCACCTGGTGCCCAAGGAGCAGGGGTGGGTGGGGCAGGGGCGGAACACAGAGACAGGTGAACAACTGAAACAGCGTTCTTATTGGTAGAGAAGGAATTCCAGCCAGCTCTCAAGGAAAAGAATTTCCCGAGACTCACCTGGGAGGATGGGGTGCCACAGCAAACTTTACTGATGATGTAAAATGAAGGGGGTTCCCTTCCTGATTTCCCAATGTCCCATCTCTAGCTGCCTTCCATGGAAAAGTTCTAATCTTGTCTTCTGGAGGGCCAGGATAAAAGCCAGTGCCCAGAGTTTCTGCTCCATCTTAAAGTCCAGTCCAGCCCAGCATCCAGCTAGCTCAGCGGGTGTTTCCAGCTTCAGTGCGTCACTCGGCTGCGGAGCTCAGGATCTCTCCCCTGGCGTCTGTGTGTGGAGTCTGCACAGCTATGGGCCATGCAGCTGCTAAGGAAGGTCACATGACTATGGAGTGAGGACACCTGAGTGCACCGTGCAAGTGCGAGAGAGAGAGAGAGAGAGAGAGAGAGAGAGAGAGAGAGAGAGAGAGGGAGGGGAGGGGAGGGGGGGGGAGGGGAGGGGAGGGGGGGGGAGGGGAGGGGAGGGGAGGGGAGGGGAGGGGAGGGGAGGGGGAGAGAGTGTCTCTTTGTTCCCCTGGGATTATAAACAGGTGCTTTTAAATAAATGACCAATCAGCCCTGGCTGGTGTGGCTCAGTAGATTAAGGGCAGGCCTGCAAACTACAGGGTTGCCAGTTCAATTCCCAGTCAGGGCACATGCCTGGGTTGTGGGCCAGATCCCCAGTCAGGGGTGCTCAAGAGGCAACTGCACACTGATAATTCTCTCCCTCTCTTTAAAAAAAAGAAAGAAAGAAAATGACCAATCAACTTCCCAATTTTCACAGGCTTTGGATGGCCCCACACCCTAGTTAGACTGACAGGCTCCTCTGGTCCAGCATCTCCCCTCTCCCCTGAACCCCAAGAATCCAGTACCAGAGAGGGGAGGGAGGAGTGTTAATGGCCTTGGTGGAACAATGCTGTGGTCCCCAGGGGAACGAAGCCCCAGTTTCCTGGCGGAACAAACAGGCTTATGCTCCCCAGTTTATTAAGCTAATTCCCTTTGCTTCCCTTTCCTTATCGATAGTTAAATATCAACAGTAATGGCATGTAGGGCTGAGGAAGGAATAGAAGCCTCAGGGATGTATTTGCTACAATTGCCTCAGACCCATGCAGGGCCCTCACCGTAGCATACAGTGTCTGTCTGCTGTGTCACAGGAGGGTGGTGGAGGCCAGTGATTACTTACAGGAGGATGGAAGACACAATATGAAAGTAATACTGAGCCCAGGGTCAGCTGCCTGCCACTCAAAAGCCGATACCCAAGAGGCAGCACCTGGTGGAAGCAAAGCAGGTTTATTCGAGAGCCGGCTTGAGAAGGTGGGGGACTCTCGTCAAAGAGACCATCTTAACATCTCGGTGCTGGCGGAGGTTTCTGTGAGCAGGGACGGGGAAGACAAGCTGAAGGAAGCTGGACGGGGTTGTGGGCTCTCGTTGAGGGTGCTCTGTGTGAGCAAGCACAGTCCGCTCTGATGACCATAGCTGGTCAAGCAAGTGTCTGGTTTTCCTCGATAGTCTGGTTTTCCTGGAAGGTGAGCAAATCTCCTGGAGCTGAGACGCCTGAAAACGACAGTCGGCTTCCTTTGAGGTTAGCTCTTAGAATCCTTTAAGATACAGGCTGTTTATCAGTAGCTACATATGAGCTTGTAAGTCATCATCTAAGAAACAACGTTAAAAGAGTAGCGGGCTGGGTTACAAAACCAAACGTCTGAACTACAAAGAACAGGACCCTAAGGGGCGGCCCGAATTTTGTTTCCTTTTACAACATTGCCACTGTGTGGCTGCAGCAGACCATTGCAGCTAGCACGCCCCAAGTGATAGGGTGGAAGAGCTGAGTAGCCCTTAAACAGAACCAATTCTCCTGTTCTATTCAGATTAGAACTGCTTCTATCCAACTTCCAATTCCCAGGTGAAGATAAGGAAAACTCCCATCAACCCTAAAAGTGCCTTTGTGCTACTTTCTAGTCAGTACTGCTCCATAATCGCTTTTCCAACTTCCATTAGACTTGCTTGTTGTTGACCACGAAATAAACTGACTCCTACAGTACCTGCCCTTTGAGTCTGGTTCACGGCGTCGGCGAGGTTCACCCGCGGTGTTGCATGTACAGTCATTTCTTATTATTCGCAGCAGATGTGTTCTGTAACGTGTCTCCCAACGTCAAATTAGCTAATACCGAACCACTGCTCCTAACGGAAATGCAGGGGTAGGTTCCTGGGCTTCTAGTCTCAACAACTTCATCACCTGATGAACACTTGTAAACCAACGAGGATGTCGATATATAGAAGATGTGTGTCACCTGATGAATGCATATAAACAAGCAAAGGAGAAGCAAATGCTTTGTTTTACATGTGTTGTGTATGTGTGGGGGGTTTAGTTTCTAGAAGAATGGGATTATATTAACGACTTCTCTTTTCTTTTCTTGCTTAACAATGCCACAGGGAATCCCTCCAAGTCATCTGGTACAGCTTTCATTTATCTGTTTTAATAACGACATAATGTTCCATATACTAAATGCATCCACTTCTGTAGAATTTAGAGACTTGTTCTTATTTCCAGTCTCTTAACTGGAAGTTAAGTGGGGTTTGTGGGGTTTGTGTTAATAGCACTGATATTTATTATATGGGTTTTTGTGCGGTTTGTGTTAATAGCACTGGTATTTATTATAAGTAGCACACCTTATATTTCCTTACATCTGTTTTCTTGTACATGTATGTTTTTACAGTTTATCTATGAAACATGTTCCCAAGAAAAGAGTATTTCCCAGTACATGTATTTTAAATTTTTATAGATTTTATCAGCTTACATTCCAAAAAAGCTCTATTTTCATTTCTACCGTCAATGCCAGGACTTCTGCTTCTGGTCAAGATGGTGTAATAGGGACTTTATTTAACCTCCTTCCTGAAACAGTCTAACAAACCAGATAAAATACACAAAAACAGTTTTTTTTAAGGAATTCTTTTCCTTTTAAAGATTTTATTTATTTATTTTTAGAGAGAGGGGAAGGGAGGGAGAAAGAGAGGGAGAGAAACATCAGTGTGTGGTTGCCTCTCACGCGCCCCCTACTGGGGACCTGGCCCAAAACCCAGGCATGTGTCCTGACTGGGAATGGAGCCAGCAACCCTTTGGTAGAATTATTTAAAAAGTATATGAAATACTGTATTTCTCTCTTGAATAAAGAATGATTTCTTGACTTACATTAATCACCTGCATTCTTCAGTAAAGAAGAATTATCTCTCACCAAGTGGAGATGAACTGTTGTTCCTGGCAAAACACAGTATGAAAGTTTGATTATTTTTCTTTAACTTTTAATCTTTAGAATCGGACTATGTATAATCATTGCTTGCATTGGTGGCCTATAAACCCTTTTATTTCCTTCTGTTCTATTTTTAAATAATTTCAGACTCATGAGTTTATATTATTCAGAGTTTTTATAATCACTATTCTTTTCGATAATTAAATTGTGCCAAATTTTACCAGTGGGAATTCCAGCAACCTGGCTTGTGTTCTTTCAATGTCACTCCAGGAGTCTTTGAGTTCTTCCTTCCCTTTGGCACATCCAGAAATGACAAGACCACCTTGACCTTTCCCAGCCCGTCTGTTCAGCCACACTTCTCAGGAGACTTAAGTCTCTAAGAAAGGTATTTAGAAACCTAGATCTGAGCTACAATAGAACTCACTAATAGGATGCCATTGCTTTTAGTTCCTTTCAGTATGCTGAAAATATATATGTGTGTGTGTGTATACACACACAGACACAGCACAATTTTTATTTTTCTAATTTAATCTTTATTGTATGTTTTTCCATGACTATTCAGTCCCCTTATACCCCCCTCCTCCCACAATCAACACACTGGTGTCCATATATATATTTTAATTTGAGTTTATAGTGATATAGCCAATCAGGTAAAAGACCTATACTCAAAAAAATTTAAGATACTGAAGAAAGAAACTGAGGAAGACACAAATAAGTGAAAGCATACAGTGTGTTTATGGAGAGGAAAAATTAACATCGTTAAAATATCCTTAGTACCCAAAGGAAGCTACAGACTCAAAACAATTTCTATTAAAATACTGCATATCACACAGATATAGAACAAATATTCCAAAAAATATTGGAAGCCACATATTTGTGGCTTTGTGGCTTTATGAAGCACAAAGACTCTGAATAGCCTCAGCAACCTGGAGATAGAAAAACAAAGTTGGAGGAATCACGCTATTTGATGTCAAACTCTACCACAAGGCCAGAGTAATCAAAACAGCATGGTATTGGCACAAGAAGAGGGACATAGATCAATGGAACGGAATAGAGAGCACAGAAATAAACCCATGCCTTTATGGTCAATTAATATTTGACAAAGAAGGCAAGAACATACAAGGGGGTAAAGACAGTCTCTTCAATAAATGGTGTTGGGAAAACTGGTCATATACACACAAAAAAGTGAATCTAGACCACCAACTTACACCACAGACAAAATAAACTCAAAATGGATTAAACACTACATAAAAATCATGAAACCATAAAAATCCTGGATGAAAACATAAGCAGTAAAATTTCTCATAGCAATATTTTTTGCCAATATATGAGTATCTCCTTGGGCAAGGGAAATGAAAGGAAAAATAAACAAATGGAACTACATCAAACTAAAATCTTTTTCACAACAAAGGAAATCATCAAGAAAATGAAAAGGGAACCCACAGAATGAGAGAACGTATTTGCCAATGTACATCTGATAAGGGGTGAATTTCCAAAATATAATCATATTTAAAGAACTTACACAACTCAACACCAAGAAGACAAACAACCCAATTTTTAAAAAAATGGGTTAAGGACCTGAATAGATATTTCACCAAAGAGAATGTATAGATGGCCAAGAGACATATGAAAAGATGCTCAATGTCGCTAATCATAAGAGAGATGCAAATTAAACCACAATGAGATATCACCTCACACCTGTCAGAATGGCCACCATCAATAAATCAACACACAAGTGCTGGGGAGGATGTGGAGAAAAGGGAACATTTGTGCACTGTTGGTGGGAATGCAGACTGGGGCAGCCTCTGTGGGAAACAGCGTGGAGTGTCCTCAAAATATTAAAAATGGAACTGCCTTTCAACTTAGCAGTCTTACTTATGGGAATATATCTGAAGAAACCTGAAACACTAATCACTAATTTGAAAGAATATATGCACTCCTATGTTAATTGCAGCATTATTTACAATCGCCAAGATCTGGAAGCAGCCTAAGTGCCCATCAGTAGATGAGTGAATAAAAAAGCTGTGGTACATTTACACAGTGGAATACTATTTGGCCAATAGAAAAGAGGAGAGGAGAGGGGAGGGAGGGGGAGAGGAGAGGAAAGAAAAGAGGAAAAGGAAACCTTACCGTTTGCAACGGCGTGGATGGACCTGGAGATTATTATTGTAGGTGAAATAAGCCAGTCAGAGAAAGACAAATGCCATTTGATCTCACTTACATGTGGAATCTAATGAACAAAATAAACTGATGAATAAAATAGAAACAGAGGCATGGATGCACGGAACAGAGTGGTAGCTATCAGACGGGACGGGGGCTGGGGCTGGATGAAAGAAGGTGAAAGACTACCAGTAAACAAAGTTGTAGAAAAGAAATGTATTGCTTCCCTCCTCCCACCCCCAATGATGACTTTTGCCATGCTTGGTCCATGCACCTACCACCTCCATCTCGGCGACCTGTGTGCCTGATTGCCGGGCGTGGCTCACAGATCCTGGCTTTCCCCTGAAACCAGTTCAGGAGGCAGGAGCCAGGGGTGGTGACTAACACCAAAATGAAACAGTTCACCGCCGGCTATAATGTCAAATTCTATATGTATAGCAAGGCCTGTGTGAACAGGGATGATGCCCACGCCCTGTGGAAGTGGAGCAAAGTCCAGCCCGAGGGATGGGGCCTCCTGGGAAATGGAACTTCAAATAGAACTTCACCGAGTTCCTCACTGACAAGGACAGTGGTGTGGTGAAGCAGTGCCATCTCCCGGAAGAGCCCTCGACCATGGAGGAGGACCTGACTGCTGCCCGCAGCTCCACCAGTGTGAACCACTCCCTGCCAGTCCAAGTTCACTGCCAAGTTCACCTGGAACCTGTGACAGTCTGTGTAGAACCCAGCCCTCTGCTGGGACAGACCCGGGAATCCGTGTGCACCCCTGCGGAGGAAGTCCTCTCTGCCCAGCCTGGCTCTCAGCTTGGCACCCCCACCCCTGGCTGCCTTGTGGGAATAAAACACACAAACTGGGGGGAAAGCTACAATAATGACAGTGTGGTATTGGCAAAAGAATAGACAAGCAGAGCAGTGGAGGAGAAGAGAGGAACCAGAAATAGATCCACGTGAGTATCATCAACTGATCTTCCACAGAGGAACAAAGGCAATTCAGTAGAGAAAGGAGAGGTTTTCAAAAATGAGGCAGGCACAGCTGGACAGCTACATGTAAAAAAATAATCTAAACTTGAATCTTACACCTTTCACAAAAAGTAACTCAAAATGAACCATAGATCTAAATTTAAAATGTAAAACTGTGCAATTTCTAGA